ATTCATAATCATGCTTTATTTGCTTGATTATCTTGAAAGACTGAGGAGTTATACTCAAACAAATAGTTGCTTAAATATGTCACATTGCAATTACCTAGAAATGGAACGAGAGAAATAAAGTAACCTATACAATTTTTAACCTTTTAAGTACCGTGGAAATTTTTAACACAATTCCAAATTTTTTTTTTTTTCATCTCTTTAATTTTAAAAGAACTAGACTTCGACCTCCTTTATTGTACAAATAAATAAATAAATAAAAGTTATTATCTTAAGTTTAACGTCCAAAAATCGAAGGATTAATCTACTAATTTGTCGCATTGGTTTACTTATATCAACTGGCTTACCTAATTATGTATTATAAAACTTTGATTGTTGGTTTCAATAATAATATAAATAGCAACTAAGTCTTGAACTACCAAAATTCTATCTTGTGATTGTGCAATGAAGTTTCATGATTCGTTCAACAAAAGAACACACTACTCTTGCAAGTTGAATTCAATAAAGTACCAATAAATATTGAAGATGATCACCAAAACACGTTTTTTATAAAAACGGAAAAAAAAGAAGCTACAGGTTGATTACATTAATGGGGCCTAGCTAAAAATATTTATAGCATTGTATATTCATTCATTTGATTGTTTATAACCATTTAATTAATCACATATATTTAATAATTAGACTAATCTAATAAATTATTTAATAATTTAGACTGAACAGATATATCTTAAAGTTATATATAAAAGTTTAAAATTGAGAATTTTTTGTAAAATTGCACACATATAAAAGTTTTTCTTTACCACCATCAACTTATGATAAAAGATGTAATATATACTAAAGAGAACATCATAATTTAGTAAGAAAATACATTTATTCTGGGACAAATTAAACTACATTCCTAAAGCCTAAATTAACATTATTTCATTGTTAACAAATGGGGAGAAACATAATAACTAGTCAGCATGTACACATCTTCTCTATAATTGCCCTAATTTTTCATTACAAATTAAGAACGTACTTATATTTTTTGGTACTTAAGTGTTAACATTTTGTATTGCACACAAATGTTAATTGTCCATATATATCACTTTAATTTCTGGACGTTTGATGAAAATAAATAAAAGATGGGGTTGATGTGTTAAAATTATATCAAGTA